AATTCTGATTTTGCAATCAGAAGCCATGTCCAGGGGTAGACCAGCAACTGCATTAGGGTAAGAAAGGGCCCTGGCTGTGAAAAGCAAATAAACTACAGCCCGAGTATTAAGGACGGAGTTATTTTTTATTATTTCGGTACTGGGGATTGAACTCAGGGCCTTCTCACTGAGTTCAGCCCCAGTACTTTTTCTTTTCTATAAATCTTTTGCCCAGGGGAATTTGAATTTGTGATCCTGTTGCCTTAGGACCCAAAGCGCTGGGATTACAGGCCTGTGGCTCTGTTTTGTGTTTAAAGAAAACAAATTACAAGGGAGGGCAGAAGAACCAAAGCCCCAGGGCCAATCTGGCCCCATTTCGCCGCGTTTAGAATCAGTGTGCCACTACGCGATTTCTTTTAAAGCTCTGACTTCTGAGGGAAAAAATTCGCCACTTCTATTTCCTTTCAAAGACTTAAATGCTCATAAATCGGGGGACACAATTCCGTAGCCACCTCCATCTAGCACTCTCTATGTTACTAGAAGATGGGAATGGAGAGATGGGTCAAACTACTTTACAGCCTCGAGTCTACCTGTGCGGCCAGGATTTGGAACCAGCCCCGCCTCTCTGTCGAGGCCCCGCCCTCAAACCGTGACCAAGTCCACTGAGAGGCCGGCAGGAGGCGCCAGTACACACGCCAACTTTTTTAGTTATCATGCCCCGCCCTCTCCTCGAGGTCCCGCCCCTCTAGGTGCCGTTTCTGCCTATTGGGCGTCGAAGTGTCAGATCACAGTCCTGCCTCTCTTAGACCCGCCTTCTACGAGGCCCCGCCCCATAGAGGCCCCGCCCCTGCCGTTGCGCGGCCAGCAGGAGGCGCTGCGGCGCGCGCGGATCTCGGGCTGCGGCCCGGGCTAACGGCGGGCGTCGGAGCCGCGCGGGAACGCGGCGCCTGCGACCGCTGTCTGCGGCTGTCTGCGGCTGGCTGTGCTGGAGGTGAGTGCGGGACACGCGACCAAGGGCGGTGGATGCGAGAGTAACCCGGGCGGGCCTACTTGGCGGCTGCGGGGTCCCGGGCGCGGAGGCTGCGGGCGGGGGGCGGCGAAGCGCGCGCTCAGGGCCGCGGGACCGCGCGGGGCGTTTTCCCCGCGCTGCACACGGGGAGGGCAGGGGGCAGGCTTGCTCGGTTGCCATGGAAACCGGCCGACTCTTGGGCCCCAAGGGCGGCCCCCGAAGCCCTAAGGTACGGGGTGAACCAGCTCGCGGGACTCTCAGGCTCAATCCAGGATTCTCCTCCAGCTCAGGGGACTCCAGGACTTCGGTTTCCTTGGGTGCGTCTAAGGGGCCTCCGGGCGCGCGACGTCCCGCACTCTCCCGCCTCCCGCCTGCCCCGCGGCACGTTTCCCACTCGTGCGCCCGCGACAGGCATTGTTTCCCAGCTATTTCTGTTCCACTTCCAACCCCCCTCCCCCTGGGACTGCGTCTCAGGAGACAGATGCTGAGCCGAGCTCTGCCCAGAGGGCGGACTTGCTTGTGTCCCTGGGGAGCCAGTGGGTGGGGCCTTGGTGGGCTGCAGACCTGCCTGCCCAGCCCCTGTCGCCTGTCAAGTGTTTGGTTAATCTGAATTGCCAAAAAGAATTTGATTACCGGTGCCACCTCTACTGCATTCCAGAGGGGAGCAGTCTTTTCAGTCGAGCTAAGAGTCTGTTTCCCCTCCAGACAGCAGCAGGCAGGATGACACCTGATTGAATTATGTTTGCATGCAGAGCTTGGTTCAGGTTGCAGTTGCAAAGTTAGGGTTTAGGGAAGAGGGACATAAAGCACAGTGTGTGAGGTTTGCCGGTCCCCTTTCCTGCTGCTGAAATGATAATGGGTTCCACATTGTTCTGTTGGAGCGGAGCAATGTCCCTCCACCCATGTCAGCCTACACTGACCACTCCCTCCCTCTTTGCTGTGACTTGAGCTTGTTTTTCATCAGAAATGGGACTCTTGAGAGCAGGAGATGAACATCTGTCACAGCAGGTGCCCAGCTCCCTGGCTGTCTGGTCTGGATGGTTCCCCAAAATACTTGTGTGACAGAGTGAGAATTGAATAGAAAAGAAAACGGCAGGTCACACTTCCCAGAAAAACAGATCTGATTACACAGGACATGTGCCGTTCTGTAGGGTTTGTCTCCATTTCTCTTGGCTTTTTAAAAACCAAACCCATCCCATTTGGACAAACAGGTTGTGCTCTGCATTCTGTGATTAAGGAAGAAGGTGATCCTTGTGCAGGTGGCTCTGATCACTAGTGTCCTCTGCATTAGCCACAGGGAGGATGACCACAGAGGAAGAAGACTTCCTGAAAACCCCGAGGTAGATAAGGTTGGGAGTTCACAGGGACTTCTTGGGGTGCCGGTGTTACTGGGAAGGAATGAATCACTACTTCCCACTTACATCGTCTCCCTGCTTTGCGTGGTTTTCCTGACTTTGCTTCAGAATCTGGCACCAGAGGCTGCTGGAAAGGAGGCAGGGGCGTTACTGAAGTTCAAACACCACAGCCCCTCACTTGGGAGGGGACCTAGTAGTTACATATTTGTAATTTTCCACTTGTTTCTTACTAAAGCAAAACTGTAAGAATGTCAGACTTTACCAAATCTGCACCACCCGATGCAAGATGCCCACTGCTGCTCTGAGCCACTGAATCGTGGGCCTTTAAACCCTTGTGTGACTTTGTGACTTTCCTCCCACTTAGGGATGCTTTCTGCAGCTCTTGGCATTGTGTTTCAGTTTACCTTCAGACTGCATCTCTAGGGACAGAGGCTTCTTGTGCTGTCACCCACTTTGGACCTGGTTCTGGACCCTGGGGAACCTCTGTCCATGGAGATGTGCCCTGAACTTCAGTTAGGCCACATGTCTGTGGAGGGTCAGGTCTCCTTGAGAATGTGTGCTGCCTTCTGAGCAAGGACATCTCCAGAGGCAGGGTTGTGCAGCCCTCAGGGATGGTCTAGAAATCTGACATGTAGGGTATTAGTCTCTGACACCAGGTTCCCTTTGGGGACAGATCTGAAGCAGCCAGTAAAGGCAGATGCAAAACTGGCTGTCTGTGATGTAAATGCTTTCTGAAAATGCTTTTGTTGGGGGCTGGGGATTTAGCTCAGTGGCATAAGCGCCTGCCTTACAGTCAGGCAGTCGTGAGTTCGATCCCCGGTACCAATAAAAAGGAAAAAGACAAAAAAAAAAAAAAAAGAAAGAAAGAAAATGCTTTTGTTGTTACTTAAGTGAGGGATTCATAAAGGAAAACCACTGCCAGCTCTGGGCTTCTTGGGACTTGACAAGGTAACTTGTCGCATGTTCCTCCAGGGAGAAGAAACTGCAAAACTTATGACCTCGTGAGCAGCTTTTATGACCAGAAGCTGGAATCTTTGCAAAGCCACTGTTTGAAAGCAGATTTGGTTCTGCAGAAAGCCAGTACAGAATGAAAGCTTTGCAGTGATATATCCTAAGCAGTAGATTGTAGGAACAGAGGACCTGTTATCAAATAGGGCAGACATTACTGTTGGGAACCCAGGTTTCTGTGTGTGAAGTTTTGGAGGAACCAGAGTCTTCCCAGAATGCTTGGCAGTGGCAGGCATGTGACTGTGAGAACAGAATGGTGTTCTGCTGGTTGGCTTCATTCATGAGTGGCTTGGTGGCAGCAAGAGGCCCAGAGGCAGGGCTGCAGTGGGCAGCAAGAAGACACCTGAGTCGTGGTATCAGCTGTAGAGGTCTGGACAATTGCATTTCTGGGTCTACAGAGGGTCTTCGTGAGGCTCCCTGGACACTGCATCCCTTCACAGCCACCTGCCTTTCCCAGAGCCTTTTCCAGCACCCACAGGACTTCGAGTGAGCTGAGGCTGGAGATATAAACTGATTGCAGTAGAGGTGGCTGGCTAGAGTCACAGTGGCAGTTGCCTGTGCTGCCTGCCTCCAGTGGGTCCTGAGCACTCTTTCTAGAGCCTTGCAGAGTATGAGCTCTTTCCCTGGCTCACTGATTGTCTCTGTGGGGGAGCACGAGCACAGAAGGGCATAAATCACCCAGAGATGTGTGCAGAGCTTCTCCTTGTGTCCCTGCCTTGCAGCATAACTTCGAAAATCTGTCCCTGCTCTGGCTGACCTGTCTCCCTCAAGGGAAACCCACAGATAATCTCTACCTATAAACCCTGTGGGGTGCTTAGACTACTGGGATTAGGATTCTGCACCGTATCAAAGCCTCCCATGGCCATTTCCTTCTCTCCCAGTGAGACCGAATCTCCAGGGCTGGATGTGGTGGGTGGAATGCAACATTCCAGGCATGCCTCCCATGTCCTCAGTGGCTACAAGGACGTCCAGAGCTGTGTCCCAGGGAGGTGTCTCCTTCACACTGGTAGTAGCCTTCTCTGCCAGGTCATGAGTAACAGCACTTGCTTGAGCAAACCTGGCTGCAGTTTGCCATTTTCCTAGCTCTGTGTGCATGTGTGTGTGTGTGTGTGTGTGTGTGTGTGTGTGTGTGTGTGTGTACTTGAGACAGAGTCTCACTTTATAGTTCAGGCTGGCCATGAATTCCCTGTGTAACTCAGGCTGGCCTCAAATTCACAACAGTCCACCTGCCTCCGTCTCCTAAGAGCTGGAGTTACAGGTGTATATCATGCATTGCTCCCCACTTGTTTGTGATGGGTTTGCACTTACAGAGAGCCAAGCTAGGCTCCTACTTGTTTTGTCCCTTTTATTCTGGCTGTGATGGTGCCAGATAGTGGACTTGCTAGGACACAGTGCCTTCCCTGCTGTGATTCTGTGGCCAGCACTTTGCAGAACTGGGATGAGGGGACCTCATCATGCTTCCAGGTAGTAGCTTTCCCTGAAGACACATCAGCTGTCCAGCCTGCTTCATCCCAGCTCAGGTGCACCCTGGGGTCTGAGTTGAGTGACCTGTCTGCTGGACCGGGATACTGAGTGGCTGTCCCACCTGTTGGATGAGACTCACATCTTCTCTGCTCTCGGTGCTAACACCTTTCACTCTGTCTCCTCAGACTCCAGCCTCTCCTTACACTTTGGCTGACGTCCCGGCCCTTATCCCTGAAGACCTGCCCACCATGTTTTATGGGACTCACTTTGTCATGTCTCCTCCTACCAAGAGCAAGCTGAAGCGACAGGGCCAGCTCCTGTCCAGCATGCTGTCTCGGACACTGAGTCACAAGTACAGGGACCTGGACTCTACCCCATGCAGCCTGGGTTCCAGTGATGACCCTGCAGAACTGTCCACCCAGCTGTCAGCTCCTGGAGTCCTGAAAGTGTTTGGGGACAGTGTGTGTACAGGCACGCATTATAAGAGTGTCTTGGCTACTGGCATGTCCAGTGCCCGGGAGCTGGTGAAGGAAGCTCTTGAGCGTTATGCCCTGGACCCTACATGTGCCGATCAGTACGTGCTTTGTGATGTGGTGGGCCAGGCTGGAGACCCTGGGCAGCGGTGGCAGGCCCAGTGCTTCCGGGTATTTGGGGACAACGAGAAGCCCCTCTTGATCCAGGAGCTATGGAAACCCCGAGAAGGTTTGTTCAGGAGATTTGAGCTGCGAAAGAAGTCTGATGTAGAAGAACTGGCTGCCAAAGATGTGGATACCATCACGGCAGGTAAGGACGGGGCCGTGGGGCTGAGGGCAGGGAGGTGGTCAGAGCAGGGGCAGGGAGCAGAGGGGCACATGGGCAGGCATTTTCTCAGGAGGAGGTGAGTGGAGTCTGCCGTGGCCTGGGAAGGCTTCTCATGTTTTGTCTACTACTTTACCTTTAGTGGCTTGGATATGGTGATTTGTTAGACTGGTGGTGCAATGTGGTAGCTCTTAATGGCTTCTTCAGGGTTTTAGGCCCAGTCTGCCCTGTTATTTGATCAGGTCACTGTCCAGTCCTTGTAATACATTGCCCACATTATCACATATGCCTCACGGAATACAGGGACAGGGTAGTCGGAAAGACAGCAGAGGAGGCTTCACATCTGCATGGTGTCACCAGGTCACCAGGTCTGCAGTAGTGAGGCTGCAGAGGTCTGTGGGTACGGGGTAGTCAGAGGCCATTCTTGGGTGAGTCCCAGCCTGGAGGCAGCAGGTTATATTTTGTCTGAGAATGCCGAAAGTAGAGTTTTGCTTGTTTGCCCTTGGGCTTGCTGACCCAGTGGCCTGTGACCCAGTGGCCTATGACCCAGTGCTTTGAGTCTTGGTGCTGATTCATTTGGTGGAAAGAAGTTGACTACTCTGATAGATGCCAAAAAAATAATGTCTTCAAATTCTGAAAGATTCTTAAACATGATTTGGATCAACCATATTTTACTTTTTCATAGTCAACTATAAAAAAGCCAGCGAGCTTACCCAAGGCTTGGCCTGTTGCCCACAGGAGGATGCCTGGTGGCTGTCTGAGACCCAGTGCTTCATTTTGTGGTATTTCAGGTAGAAAGTGGCCTCTGGGCCTTGCTGACAGTTTGGGTGCCTGCTGAGGGGTTGTGACCACTCACTTGGTCCTACTCTGCTTCCTCAAGAGCCTTTGGGCCCTGGGCTATGGCATGTGAGACAGGGATGTGGGGGAGCCATAGGGCCCAGCCTGACCAGTCCAGTTCCTGATCTGGAGGACAGAAGGGCTTAGTGAAGCTGCATGTGCTTGATGCTGCTGTGGCGCTCAGTAAGTCGTGCTGAAGGACAGTGCCTGCAGTCCCTCTGGTGGCACACAGGCAGTGCCTTGCAGGATGGGCTGGGTGGGCAAGGGCTAGGTCCTTATGGTGGGACTCTCCTGTCATAGGCATCATTCATAATTGTTAGCAGTGATCAAGGGCACTCGAGTCTTGGCAGATAAGCACCTTGCTTGTTTGCAACAGGTACTGCTCTTGCTCCATAGGCTGTATTTACAGGGGCTTGGTTTTTGTCTTCACCCTTCCTTTCAGTGTTCTAGAGGACATTTGTCCCCTTGGTGCCTCATTCCAAAAGACCTGGTGTGGGGAAGAGGTGGGTGGTAGAAGTGTCGGGGTTGCTGCATGGAGACAAAGGACCCTTGATGTAGAAGATAGCATTTGGGTCATTCTCTTGCTTAGCTTTTCCTCCTTCACTAAGTGGGCAACAAAGAGCAGGTTGGATGGAGCCACTACAGGGCTCAGCATCACCTATTGTGAGGTCAGCATGCTGTGTCATCTGAGTGAGGTAGAGACTCGGAAAACCCAGTCTGCTTGCACAGTGGCTGCTGACCTGTGAGGAACAGCAGGGGAGTTTGCTCTGTTCACCACCCCCAGAGCTGCTCCTTTCACACAGCCAAGACAAGAGGAAGTTGCATAGCCTGCAGTCTCTTAACCCTGATGGCTTTTCAAGCCTTCCCAATAAAAAGCCCATTGAGCTGGCCAGTCTGAGTGACCCATTTGTTGGGTGGCAGTGGGTTGCATTACCTGCTCAGCAGGTCCAGGCCCCAGGAGATCCTCTGTGACTGGCCTTTTGTGGATATAGCTTTGGTACCTAGTGCTATACCTGGCAGGGCCACAAACTTCAATGCGTGGTAACCATTTCTGGGCCTCTGCTTAGGGCAGAGATGGAGTCCTGCAGGCTAGAAGTAGAAAAGCAGGCTTAGTGTGGCTGGAGCTGAGGAGACCTACAGACACCAAGCGACTCTGAGTTCTGTCCCTAATGGCAGGAGTGGGCCTGACTTAGAGCCAGACCCCAAGGCTCTGATCTGTGTCTGGCTCTCCTGATGATCCTTACAGTGCAGGCACCAGAACACCAGGTACATGTGTACACACACGGGTGTGCACATCATGGCACACACAGCAGTTCCCTGGTAAAGAGCCCAGTGCAGCCCTTTGTGGCATGGAGGTGGCCACTCCACACATTCTGTGCCTTCCCATGCTCTCTGGGAAGTCAGGACACAGGAGGGAGCCACTGCAGCTGGCTTTGTGCCTCTCTGCATAAAACAGAGTGCCTGACCCTAGAGGAGGGGATAGGGTCATTATAGCTGCATGGTAACTGTGAGCTGTAAGTGGAAGAGGAGGTACTCCCTGTCCCTGCTGCGCTGCTCCATTGTATCCTGGCCCTATTCTGAGCCCCCAGGCTGCCAAGGGGGTTGTACGCCCACTTGTCCTGAGGGAGCCCCAGTGCAGGCCTGTGTGCTCTTGGTGCTCAGTGGTGGCACTCAATGCAGTGAAGTGGGTGCTCACAGCCAAGTAGGAGCTCTGGTTTTCAAGAAGATGGAAATCAGGGTGGCGCTGGACACCTGTAGGGCAGGCCAAGGAGGACCACAAAAGGCCTGGTGCACCTTTCCCTTTATTCTCTTCCTGAGGGCTGCAATGAGGCTGCCCCCCCACCCCCCCCACCCCCCAGTGACAGAGTGGTCAGATCTGGTCTGCAAAAAGGTGGAGGGCCTCTGAGTGTGCTCATGCATGCATTCTGTGTATGTGCCTGTGGATAAGTGCGGCCTTCTCTGGCTTCAGGCTCTGGGGTGCTGTAACCCTGAGGCTTCTTGGATCAGTTCCCCTTCCTATCTTAGCAGGCTTCATGTTGCCCTCAGCTGGTTCTGTCTTAGAAAGCTGCAGCTGGAGTAGGGGTAGGGGAGGGGCTGGTGGCTCCTGAGTGACCAGGATCCCCAGTGGACCAATAAGGACCCCCGAGGGGATGCTGAAGTCAGCACACACCAGGTCTCAGGAACTGTTTGGTGGTGGCTGCACATCCATAGTCACACACTGTTGGGTTTGGTTTTGTGTAAACAGCTCTTCCCACGCTGCTGGATTCCCTGCTTTCCACTCTGTCAAAGTACAGTCTGCACTTTGGGGCGGCGGGGAAGTAGTGCAGGCTGTCGAGTAGCCCTTAGTAGTTTCTCAGGGGCTGGTATTTAGGGTCCATGCCATGTGGAGAGGCCTGGGTCCTGTCATTGAGATAAAAATGACAGCCGAGCTCACTGTGTGGAGGGCGACCGCAGGGCCATGTGGTTTTTGTCAGCAGCTTGGGATGTATGAGGCAGAGAGTTTGTGTTGCCCATATGCAGTGTGCCAGGCCCTGGAAGGCCTGTCTGCCTTCCTTGCCTCCTGGAGAGTGGAGGGAGAGTGTTTAGACTGGCGTCTCCACTGCCTGGCTGCTGGTTTGTGCTGGAGACCCAGGCCGTGGGAGACGCCCTGTGCAGCATCTCTTGCCTTCAGATCTTTGAGCCTCAGCTATAACTACCACACGTGCCCAGGACATTGCCATATCCTCTGGGCAGACCTGCCCACTCCTGAGACCAGAGGAGGTGCTGTTGATGCCCCACACCCTGAACCTTTCTCTCTGTCACCTGCAGCCATCAACTCAGCCTGGCTGATCTCTCCTAGGTGTCTTTCTGGGGATTGAAGTCTTACAAGCCCCATACTTGAGGAAGGGACAGTGCAGACTGCAGCTGTGCTGGTAGATATCTTGTGTGTGGTCTTCAGAAGCTTGGCCCTGGTACCTTCCAGGGCAGGGTCTCTTTGCTTTGGGTGTCTTCTTTGTAAAAAGGCACGTGTAATAGTGGTATGGTGGCACACACCTGTAATCCCAGCACATTGAGAGGCTTAGGTGAAAGGGTCACAAGTTGGAGCACAATCTGGACAATTTAGCAACTTTTTAAGAATATTTGATTTTATTATTTTTTTCCCAAATCCATTTTCTTTCAAGGAGAAAAAAAAAAAAAAAAGAAAAGAAAAACACTAAAAATTTCAAAATATGTCAGTCAAGGGGCCAATTTAGCAACTTATCAAGACCTTGTCTCAAAGTAAAAAATAATATTTAAAAAGGGATGGGGACTATAGCTCAGTGAAAAAACTCCAGCCTTCAGTACCCTGTTACTCCACCCCTCAACCCCCATACAAAGTAAGTATAGAAAGCTTTTAAGGTGCTGACATTTGAAGCTAAAAAAAAAAAAAAAAAAGCTCACAATGCTTGTAGCACTTGTCACTAGCTTCATGACCAAAAATAACAGCCCATCACACACCTGCCGTGAGCTGGGTATGGTGGTACATGCCTGTAATCCCAGTACTCGGGAGGCTGAGGCAGGAGAATCATTACAAGCTCGAGACTAGCCTCGGCTACAAAGTGAGCTCAAGGCCAGCCTGAACTGCATAGCAAGACTCTTGTCTCAAAAAAAAAATTGACAAAAATGCCTGCTATGAAGTCTGGTACACCGTGCACTTATTTAACCTGTAGAAGATCAGTACGTGGAGGAGAGAGAGCTACTCTGTGGTCTCAGCTTGTGGGATTCTGTGGGGGTCTGTTGTCTCTATGCCCAGAGGCATAGAGAGGCTGAGTCTCTGTGCCTCTGGGTTTGAGGTGGCAGGTGGGGACAGACCTGTGTCCTTGCCAGGTGCTGTGCTCTGTTGTGCTGCCTTGTCATCTGTGGACTGGCAACGACACACATTCCCTGGGAACAGCCAGGATCATCCCCATGGGAAGCCATACCTGCTTTTGTGACCCTCTTGAGTCCTCAGGCTTTCCACCCTCCCTGTGTCACTTTCTTCTGGAGCTGTTTTCTTTGCAGTGGATAAGACTCTTTAACTCCCATCTTGGCACGAAGGGGTAACCTGGAGTGCCCTTCCTCTTGTCGTTTGTAGCGTATTGCAAATGATAGGATTGCGGTGAGGAACATTCATTTGATGTGGTTTGGCTGAAAACAAAACAATTCAAATCTTTTTTCACCAGTCTGAAACTGGAAACGTAATTGAATTTAAGGATTTTTTTTGGCGTTTCTAATTCAAAGATAAAAATTAATTTGAATGGTGTGTTGTTCACAGCCAGTATCATCCTTTGATTCACTGCTTAGATTTTAAAAAACCCCCCTCTTCAGTTTCATCACAGAAGTGCCATGTTAGAAGGCCCACCTTGCGCTGTGGCTGAGCATGTAAACAGCAGGAAGAGGTCAAGCCAGGTGCTGTAAGGAGCCACTGTTGGAGATGTTTTGTGTTGACACCAAAACCCAAGGATGTCACCATTGGTGTAAGACTTTTTATTTTTGTACCAGAAATGGAACTCATGACCTCGTGCTTGCCAGATAGACGCTTATGCCATTGAGGTAAATGACTGGCCCAGTGTAAGATGTTTGAAAGATGTAAAACACAAGACAGATTGGCAAAGGTGTGGCCAAGATGGACATCTCAGATGCCAAACTAGGTAACTGACAGAGTATCTTCAGAGGTGATGAATTTAATTGGAACAAGCATTACAATGGGAATACATGTATCATAGTAAAGGATGTATGTATGCATTCAAGGAGACAGAGAGAAAAGAAGTTTTTATTTTGTACTGGGAATCAAACTCATGACCTATGCTTGCCAGTCTGATGCTTACACTGATGAGCTAAATCCCTGGCCTGAAAAAAGGAATTTTAAAGGTAAAGTGAGTGTTCAAAGATTGCATAAGTCATCGCTGGCTATTGGGGGCAATAACAAAGGAGATACCAGGCCAGGGTTGGGTGGACAGTTACTGGGTAGAAGCCTTATAGAAGTGTCTGGGAGGGTGGCCAAGGCTTTGGAGCAGGGGTGTGGCTCTGCAGAATTGCCTGTGATTGTTCTTGTTACAAGATGCACATGCATGAGATCCTCTTCCCTGTAATGGCCCAGCGTTATTTATTTATTTTTGTTAGCGTTTGATTCTGTCTTGATCCTGGACGCTTTCACCCAAGGAAAGCTCTCCCTCCTGTCCAGTGGATGGCATGGAAGAGGCAGTTGTGAAGGTTGGGAATTAGCTAATTCACTCTGCCACCTAACAAATACTATTTTTAAAGTGACAGCTCATTTCCCTCAAGTGGGAGGTTAATGAGATTAAAGTCAGGCCTAACCAGAACTGAAGAAAGGGATCTTCCAGATAATGATTTCCCAGTGATTTAAACTGGCAAATATCAATTGAATGGTCACTTTGTGATAGGCACTTGACTAGGTGCTAAGTAGGAGTAGAGAGCAGTTGATGGCCAGATATGGTACCATGTGCCAGTAATCTCAGCTCTTTGAGAGGCTGAGAGGTGAGGGTTGCAAGTCTGAGGCAATTTAGCAAGACCCTGCCTCAAAATAAAATTGGGGATGTAGTTGAACGGTAGAGAGAGTGCTTGCCTAGCACTTCTGAAGCCCTGGATTTGATCCCCAAGCCTTCCTTTACTCCCCCCAAAATCATATATATCATAGCTCCTAACAAAATCATCATATAATCTTGGAGCAAAGAATCTAGCGGGCAGTAAAGACGACAATATAATAACTCAAAACATAATTACGAATTGTTTCATATACTATGAAAGAAAAGCATAGATGCTAATTCAGAGAAAAGTGGGAAGGCTGTCTCTGAGCAGATGAACTTTAAACCAGTGTCACAGGTGACAGCACATGAACCAGCTAAAAAGCAGGGTGCAGTTGGTGGATGGGAAGAGCATTCTGCCTGAGGGATTGTGCAGAGACCTGGGGATGGGAGAGAATGAAACAGGTAATAGGGCACCAAAAGAAGGCCATTGTAGCTGAAAACTAGCAGGGTGGTAGCAAGTGAGATGGGGCGGTCAAGAAGATCAACTTGGGCTGTTAAGTACTTCAGATTTTGTTTTATTTTGTGGTCTTGGAGTTTGAATCCAGGGCCTTCACTGAGCTACATCCCAGCCCATTTTTAACTTTGACACAAGGTCTGCCTAAGTTGTCCAGACTTGAACTTGGTGATCCTTCTGCCTCAGCCTTCCAGAGTATTGGCATGACAGGTGTGTACTACCACATCTGGTTTACTATTTATTTATTTTTGTAGTGCTGGGGAGCTATTTTGATTTTAGACTAAATGTAATAGGCGTTTTAAAAAACTAGTTAAAAAGGAGTTTAAAAAACTAGTTTGGTTCCTAAGTACAGAGTGTGTTGAGAAGGTCAGTAGTAGTTGATTAAATGATTATAGAAGTCTAGGCAAAGGTTGATGGTGGCCTGGACTACAGTTATAGGGAAATAAGTGGGGAGAACTGGATGGATTCCAAATGTATGCTGAAGGTAGAAGCCACAGTATCTAAATGAATTGGAGGTGGAGGGTGAGGAAGAGGGAGGTGTGAAGCTCAACTCCCAAGGTTCTGGGTAGATGGAGATGCCATTTCCTGAGATGGAGACTACTGAGAGAGAAGCAAGTTATGGGGGAAATAATTAAGAATTATCTGCCCCCCTACCCCGTACTGGGGATTGAACTCACAACCTTGCGGTTGCCAGGCAGCCACTTATGCCACTGAAATAAATCCCCAGCCCAAGAATTTTCTTTTAAATTATGTGAGGCTGAGACATCTTGGTGGAGGGAGCAGGCATCACAGTCTAACAGTATAGATCTGGTGCTCAGAAAGGAGCCTGATTGTGGGTATGGAAATCGATAGGTGACCTTGGCAGTGAATGTATGTGCAGTATGAAGTAGTGAGGGTTTAGTGTGGAAACAAGGAATTGCAACATTTAGAGGAGGAAACTGCAAATCAGACCAAGGAGTAGCCAGAGATGTAAAGATGGCACCCAAGTGTGGTGTCATGGGAGCCAACATGAGGCTTCCTTAGGTCAGAAAAGATGCAGATGATTGAGTTCACTGCATTGGGCAATGTGATGGTTGCCAAGGCCCTTTCTGATAGCAGATTATTTTTTGGAATGATTGTTTTTTTTGAATGCTGAGCATGCAAGCCAAACTGAAATGATGGGAAACCTATTTGTTTTAAATCTCTGGCAATATGTGAGATTAAGTATCCTGGAAAACTTTGAATATAAATAAGCTGGAAGTGCATCTTTTAAACATAGGTGAGTAACCAAGAAAATAAAGAGTTCTAGGGGCAAAAAAGTAAGTATCTTAAAGCCATGGATTCTAGTGGATTCTGAGCCTGTAATTATGCTGGAGGTATTTGTCATGCTTAAGAGCTGCCCACAAAGAAAGAAAAGCCCCTGGAACCTTAAAAGAGAGAACAAAAGAGCCCTTCATCATAGTTAGAATTTTACAAAATTCAAATCAGAGGGAAAAGATGAGATAGGGAGAAACTATTACCTGGTAAAAAATGACAGTTAATCCTTCTTGATTAACTCTGAATGGGGCTCTGAATGGGGAAATTTAAGACCCTTCTTTAGAATTGAAAATCATTGTTTCCCCCTCGCATGTTTTTGAAGTTTGAAATTGTACCATCATAGTTTGGGTAATCCTCGGAAAAAAACTAAATTAGAGTGCAGTTTGACAGAATACAAGGGCATCTGGCAGAAACGAAGCAGACCCTCTTTGGCAACTTCGCCGGAAGAGAGCTCATGATCCAAAATTACAAGACATAAGTGGTCTTGCTAGTGGGTGTGTGAGACAGGGTCTCGCTATGCAGTTCAGGCTGGCCCCAAACTCACTGTGATCCTCTTGCCTCAGACTCCCGAGTGCTGGAATTACAGGCATGAGCCACCACACTCCGCTACTGGTCCTGCTACTTTAACGAGTCGATAGAAGACAACAGACCATACAACTAGATTTATTAGGAATAGGAAACATTGATTATACAATACGAAACAGCTATGTTTAATATATTCAGTGATTCTTCAGCAGCAGACTGAATACAACGGAGTGCTGGGAGGTGGCCTGGATCGTGGTGAGCAGCACAGGTGTGGGGAGGTCTGCCGTGTCTCCGGGAAGGGACCTGGGTGTGCGAACAAGCCTGGGGATCTAAAGCCAGGGCGTGAAAAGCGCAGTTCTAACGACGGACCCAGGCAGCTGCGGGTCGGGTGGAGCCCCGCGCCCAGGGCAGCAGAGTGGCGAGTTACGGACGGGTGTGCACTGCTCCGACGGGGGAGGACACGGGCGCCGCTCGAGCAGGAGCCGAGAGCCGCCGCGCGCAGGGCGCTGGTGGACTAAGCTTGAAAAGCCGCGAGGAGAAAGTGTCGGAGGTCAGAGGACGCGCCGTGGGGGTACCACTGCAAGGAGTGCTGGTCGCCAAGCTTTGCTCAGGCCGGAGCTCCTCCCGTGGTCGCCCCGCCTTCGCGAGGCCAGGCGCAGGCGCGCGCGTGCGCAGTCCGTTCTGGGCGCCGCCGGCGGCCGGCGCCATGTTGACCTCCAGTGGCAGGCTGGCCAGCGCTTGAGGCGTCGGCGCGCAGCGCGGGGCCGCGGGAGCCCGGCCCCACCCCCGCCCACCGGGCATGAGCCGGGCGGCGGCTGCCGGGGTCCGCCCGCGCTAGGGAGGATGCCGTTGGCGGCGGCCACCCCGGGAGCCCTGCCGCAGGAGCGCCTCGGCCTCTCGGCGGCCATCAGCCTGGCCGCCCCCAGGGACGCCGACCGCGAACTCACCCAGAGGCTGATCGAGACCCTGCAGCCTTTCGGGGTGTTCGAAGAGGAAGAGGAGCTACAGCGCAGGACATTAATTTTGGAAAAGTTAAACAACCTGGTTAAGGAATGGATTCGAGAAATCAGCCAAAGCAAGAATCTTCCCCAAGCTGTCGTTGAAAATGTTGGGGGAAAACTTTTCACGTTCGGCTCTTACAGACTAGGAGTCCACACGAAAGGGGCCGATATAGATGCGCTGTGTGTTGCCCCGAGACATGTTGATCGGAGCGACTTTTTCACCTCGTTCTATGAGAAACTGAAACTACAAGAAGAAGTCAAAGATTTAAGGGCTGTTGAGGAGGCATTTGTACCAGTTATCAAACTCTGCTTTGCTGGGATAGAGATTGATATTTTATTTGCAAGGTTAGCATTGCAGACTATTCCAGAAGATTTGGACCTAAGAGATGACAGTTTGCTTAAAAATTTAGATATTAGATGTATAAGAAGCCTTAACGGTTGCCGGGTAACTGATGAAATTTTACATTTGGTACCAAACATTGACAACTTCAGGTTAACTCTGAGAGCCATCAAATTGTGGGCCAAATGCCACAATATTTATTCTAATATATTAGGTTTCCTCGGAGGTGTTTCCTGGGCTATGCTAGTAGCAAGAACTTGCCAGCTTTATCCAAATGCAGTAGCATCAACTCTTGTACGTAAATTTTTCTTGGTGTTTTCTGAATGGGAATGGCCAAATCCAGTGTTACTGAAAGAGCCTGAAGAACGGACTCTTAATTTGCCTGTGTGGGACCCCAGGGTAAATCCCAGCGATCGATACCATCTTATGCCTATAATTACACCGGCATACCCACAGCAGAATTCCACATATAATGTGTCTGTTTCAACCAGGATGGTAATGATTGAGGAGTTTAAGCAAGGGCTTGCCATCACGCATGAAATTTTGCTGAATAAAGCAGAGTGGTCCAAATTGTTTGAAGCGCCAAGCTTCTTTAAAAAGTACAAGCATTATATTGTACTTTTAGCGAGTGCACCAACAGAAAAACAACATCTAGAATGGGTGGGCTTGGTGGAATCAAAGATCCGAATCTTGGTTGGGAGCTTGGAGAAAAATGAATTTATTACACTGGCACATGTGAATCCCCAGTCATTTCCAGCACCCAAAGAAAATCCTGACAAGGAAGAATTTAGCACAATGTGGGTGATTGGGTTAGTGTTAAAAAAGCCGGAAAACTCCGAAATTCTCAATCTTGATCTCACCTATGATATTCAGTCTTTTACAGATACAGTTTATAGGCAAGCAATACATAGTAAGATGTTTGAGGTGGACATGAAAATTGCTGCAATGCATTTAAGAAAAAAGGAACTTCATCAACTACTTCCTGATCATGTTCTTCAGAAAAAGAAAACACACTCAGCAGAAGATGTAAGATTGACAGCTGTGGATGACAGCAGTCTCTGTTTGTCTGTAGACAGTGAAAATGTCTTATCAGTGACTTCACCTACTGGCCCTCAGGACAGAAACAGCCCTGCCCTGGCTGTAATGGCAGCATCTGTGACCAATATGCAAGCTCCTGAAGTTTCTTTGCAACAAATGAATCCCAGTGAAAGCTCAGGGGTTGCACTGAGTGAAAACATCCCTCAAATTCCTTCACAGCCTACGATTTCTCCACCACCAAAGCCCACAGTCACCAGAGTTGTTCCTTCAACACATCTGGTAAACCATCCTCCTAGACCTTCAGGAAATGCAACAACAAACATACCTAATCCTATAGTAGGGGTCTAGAGGACATCTCACCTGATAAAGAAGAAAGTGCCAAGAAAACCAAAGCTGAAAAGGGAACAAGCAGACAGATAAGCACAGCTCAGTTAGAAATTGTTTAGACAGCAGCTTTTCTGCTGGCTTCCCAGGAAACATCCAGCACAGATAGACCCAGGATCCCTGTTCTCCCTGCAGATTCTATTCTTGCTACCAAGAATTCAGTGAAACAGATTGAATGAATAGAAACAACCCCCAAAGGCCCACAAACAATATCTGCCAACTCAGCCTGTTGTTTTTGGATGCTGTAGAGGGAGTGTGAGGATACCACACTAGATAAAGACTCAAAATAGATTTATGTTCATTTAGTAACTTCCTTTACTGGCCAGATCTTGACCAGAAGTCCAGATTAATGTATAAAGCTACAAGTACTATTATTAATGCCTCAGATTATTAATGTGTCAGCAACAGTCACATTAACTATTTCAAAGGACTACTCTTGTAAAAAAAAAAAAAAAAAACTCTTTAGCTATATTTATGGCCATGACTGACATCTGGACTGAATTTATGTTTGATGAATTGTTGGGAAAATTTACAATACAAACTAGTATCAGAATTCCTTATACTAATGATGTACTTTTATGTATTTTTAAAGTTAGGAACTAGAACTAATTTTGGACTTTAACTTGGTGAATTTTAGTTTAGTTTTTTTTCCCCTGGAGTGGTTTCTTCACTATTAAAATTAGAGACTATTGGGCAGTGGTGTAATGTACGTCAGAGAAAGCACAAAAGTAACTTTAGTACAGTCATGCTGAGATAGCTGCAATGCTTTAAAATGAGATGTCAACCCTTAGGATAAGTATTTGACATCAAAACAGTAATTGCTATGTCTTTGGTTTTGATGGAACATGATCAAGAAATAACACATGGGTTTTATCTACATATTATTTTAGACAGTGTATAATCAGCGACCCAACATTGTCTTTGAGCTTACAAAGCTCCATAGTCTTGTCTTCAATCATTTCATCCTAAAACGAAGAGCTTTCTGCCTCTACCCTCTTTTGTTTGCTGTGTGTGCAAGGTATGCGTGTATGTTGTTTTCTTAAAAAAAGAAAAAAACCCAGGGTACTGGTATTTTCTAAACCATGATGTGAAATCAATATTCTTGTGGCCACATAGCACAAAACAAATTTAGATTCTATGACTAACATTTTAGTAAAACTTTACTAAACATAATGCCTGTGAAATACGTTGCTGTTTGGCGATTGCCATTTGATCACTATATGTGAGAAGTTTTATAAATCCCACAGGATTCTTGCTTTATCAGAAAGCTGATTTCCAATTTTAAATGTGGGCAAAAAAAATTGTCTGCACAAGTCTTAAACCAGTTTTTAATGCCTTAGCAGAATTCATTAGACTATCTGACTCATAAAAATGATTTCTAGAAAATTCTTGACATCGAGTCAGCTTTTTATGGTTTTGTTTCGTTCTATCACAGATTAGGAATACTTTTCTTTAAAAAACGATCCCTCATAATAAAGCAGCAGAACATCCATGTGTAGGAACCATGCGGGACAGCAGATGTCTACCTAGATGAAACAGTGTTAATGTGGACGCAGCAACTGAACAGCCTTCCAGGCAGCCTGGCTCTGTCTCCCCACACTTGTGACCTTTCTACCACATGGGCATTTTTTTTTCATGTGAAGCAGCAATTACTTTTTCCTGTCCTCGATTCATTTTCTAAAGTTGAAACATAGTCTTTTTTTACTTCTAAGCTATGCAGTAATTGAGATGTTCTGTTGCTAGTATGTACCATTTCTGTTTCTCACATTTTTGCCCTGTGCAGTCACCTAACCCTTCCACCACAATAAATCAGGTGAAACATGCACAGCATCTGTATTTTGAGTAGCTCTGTTTGGTTGAATTTGCCAGGCACAAATTTAGTTTTGTCAATTTGTTTATACATTGGAAAAAATTGTTTTAACTGTTTAATGTAACTGTACTTGTTTTACCAAGCTGGAAACTTGGGACTTTTTAATTCTAGTTATTATTACTTGAATATCAGATTATTTTTTCATGTGAAGTATGTAATGTCTCATGACTGGAGTTTGCTTTGTTATGTAGTATCTGTACTCCTGTATTTTCAAGCACTATTTTGAAAACAGATAATGTATTTCTCCATTACAAACACAATAAAAAAATAAATGACAAATGAACAAAATGAAATTAAAACGCCAGACAGTAATGTTTAAATCTGATAATAAGAATTCAGATGTTATCACATTGTTGGAGGGGAAAGACACTGATGAATTTTCCAGCTTTTCTAAGTATCGAATTAAAGTGTGTGGTATAATGTTAGGGGAAACATGGGAAGAAATTTCAAATTAATAAAGATTTTAAAATGTAGATAAAACAATACAAAAGGCAGAAAAAATGGGAAAACAACCACAGAAGATAAGGGTAAAAGGAAAACAGTGTGGTAGAAAAAAGTTTTTGGACTAAAAGACTTATTGTCAGATCGCAGAAAATGTGTACAGCAACTGTGTGCTTGCTGTTTTTATTTAAGAAACACATCCAAAATGTAAGGACATGAAAATAAGGCTGGTATGGTGGCAACATCTAACATTCACAGTAAAAGCAATTCTGGGGACGAGAAGGCCATTACATTAATGATAGAAGAAATAACCTACCAGGAAAATTGAATAATTTATAACTTCTGTGCTCCTGATAAATTAGTTTCAACATGAAGTTTAGTAGAGATAGATACTGCCAAATACATCATTATCATAAGAAACTTAAAACAGCTTTTCAGTTGATACTGTGGAGACAAAAAGTAGAAGGGAAACCATTTTTGTGTTTTGTTTTTGTTTTTTCGAGATAGAGCTCACCGTAGTTTGGAGTGGCTAACTGTGTAGGCCAAGCTGGCTTCCAATTCATGGTGATCCTCCTGCCTCAGCCTACCAAGTGCTGAAATTATAGGTATGCACACCCTGTGGGGTAGGGCAGGATAGCATTTTTTAACACAACCTAGTTTAGTGGTCCATGAATTGTTCCTATAAAGGGCCAGGTACAAAATATTCTCAGCTTTGTGAGACTGAATAGTCTGTCTGAGCACTTACCTCTGTGTTTTAGAGTGAAAACAGACATAGACAATGAAATAGCAGGTGGCCTGATTGGATTTGTCACTCAATGCCCTACACACATACTCTTTATCATCAGTAATCTGGTGGACACTGATTATAAAGCCTGCCATCTGACAGGTGGGAAATGCATATAATTCTCAAATGACTGCTGTCCAGAGTATGTTAAGGACGGAAAAGAAAAGTCTATTTTAAAAGATCTAATGCAAAATTGACAATGTATAGGCGTTTCTCAGAAGGGGAATTAGGAATAGTCAGTAAATGGTAACAGATGGTCATTTTTGTTAGAAATAAGAAAAATATAAATTAAGACCAAGAATAACGTTTATAGTAGCACTGAGGGTGAAACCCAGGCTCTCATACATGCTAAGAAGTTGCTGTACCACTGAGCTACACTTCCAGCCCCTTTAGTAAATAATTAATTTTGAGACTGGATCAAACTAACCTTGAACTTGGGATCCTCCTACCTCAGCATCCTGAGTATCTGGGATCAAATGTGTACACCACCATGCCAGCTGAGGAAAAACTTCTTAAGAAAAATCAAAAAGATTATCACTAATATAGATTTGGTGAGGATGAGAAACAGTTGGGTCTTACCTGATGGTTGCTGGCAAGCCGGTAGCCTGGACTCAGGTTCTGCGGCCAGGCCTTTGCGTCCAGCTGTAGGCACTGGGGTGCTCCATCTCACTTTCTCCTTGGCCTTCGGGACCAGAGTCTGTGGGTGAAAGCAGTCTCCAGAACTCTACACACCCTCTGGGTATGTAGAGTAATTTTCATATATGCCAAGTAATTGTCATAATTTTCTCTGTATGCCCCAGTGTCAGAAAAGCCAGGCAGCACCTTCCCAGAGGCTTGTTCCTTTTGGTACCTGAAAGCAGTACAGAATTCACAGCAATGTTCTGGAAGTGCCTAAAGCCCAAGGATCCACATGTCTCTAGGCCTGGGGACAGTGGTGCATTTACTCCTCAGGCACCATAAAGCTGAGAAATTAAACCATAGCTCCATGCATCTCTGTAGATGCGTCTCATGCTGAGGAGGAACAAAGCAGATTGCCAATATACTTATATAAAGTTGAAAAGTAAAGTGCAGCAGTATAATCTAGGGTTATACAAATATGAGCCATAACTATAAATGAAAGACACACCTGCTAAACAGAATCTGAACAGCAGTTCACTGTGGTTGAGTAAGAGGTGGGAGAGCAGATAGGCCAAGGCGTCCTTGTTTCCCTAGGCCTCGTGGTGGGTGCCCTGGTGCTCACTTTATTATTCATCTAGGTTATAAATGCTTTCCTGTGGGAGAACTGTTTTATCGTTTTAAAAAATGGATACCTTAGTGATGTCCTAAAATCAGTCAGGAATTGCACTTGGCCAGGCGTAGCCTGAATGCAGGTTTATTTTCCCTCCATGACAGGTACTAAGTTCAGGGCTGGAAAGGTGGCTTCCTGGGTCACTGGTGACCCAGGCTTCTGCTTTGAGCTCTACTGTTCTAGTTCGTGCCTTCCATCTTTGGGTTGATCCACGTGCGGCATGACTGTGGGGGCCACCTCCATCGCAGTCAGGAAGAGAGGAAGGCAGGGCTGCCCCCTCCATCCCCACAATGTCATCCTGTGGTGGTTTCCTGCAGTCCTAGCAGGAGCTTCCTTCATCTTTCACTGATGGTTGTCTGTAAGGGACACTGCAGAATGCAGCTGGGTAATGGGCCTGTGCTGTTAGGAGCAGTGGTGGACACGGAAATGCAATGCTGGCTTTCTCTTGCTCTGTACATACTGATTCTGAAGTCCAAGAGTGCATACAGATCACTTCCAGGTGGAGCCAGAGCACATCAATATCTTCAAAAATTTGGCTTCCTGCTTAGTTTTACAAGTCTTGTGTGTTAAAGTGGCTCATCTAGGTAATCCCCCATAGATGATTCTAAAACCAATTGATTAGTAGACTACTTTGTATCTGCAAAAATCACTTTTGCTATATAACAAAACAGAGAATGACTTCATTTGCATGAGTCCCATTCACACTCAAGAGGGGAGCAGATTATACCAGGAGAGGGTTACTGGGGCCATTTTAGAGTTCAACTACCACCCCCACCTTCTGGCCCCCAGATGAGTTATATCTGCATTCGCACGCACAAGGCACTCACTCCACCTCCAGGTGCTCCAGTGTTATCTTGTTACCAGTTCAAGGCCAACATCACACCATTTTAAACAATCCAAACCAAGTGTGGATTGTTATAACCAAGAGGCCTCTGGTTATAATCTGTGGAGTGCAACTTCTGGTGCACAAATTTTCTCCATCTGTGGGCCCATGAAATCCAAGAGACAAGTTACCTGCCCTAACACTCCCACCCTCAAGGTGGGACAGGCACAGGATGACAGGTACAGGAATTCTGGCTCAGAAAGTGAGACTCACAGGTAACAGGAGCCACTGGTCCTAAGTGGTTTCACATCCCCTGATCTCAGGCAGAGTGCCTGGGGACTGCCTTCAGCTGTGTCCCTGAGCTCTTGCAGGCACCTCCTGGGTCATTAGTCTATTCTTCTCCCTGAAAGGTGTTCATCAGCCCCTTCCAGGCAATATTTCATTTTGTGCTGCCTGCCTTTCAGTCTATGCCACCAGTGTTTCTGCTGATCTGATTTTTTCAGGAACTGTATGGACTCTCCAGGCTTTCCTGAGAATTCCCTCCCTTAGACAAAAGCCATGTCCACAGTTGCTTCTGAGATGATCCTCTGCTTGTTTTCAGTTCCTGCAGTGAAATGACACTGCTCTTAAACTTCCCTGGAGACCTGCGGCTTGACTGGAAAGATGTGTGAGCAGCGCTCACCCTCAGCAAAGCCTCCATGACTGGGCACTCTGACCTTCTGATCTTTGAGCTTCTTCAGTCTCAGTAGAGGACGTGCAGGGGCACACTCTGTCCTCCTCTGTGCCACACGATCCCAGCCACTTCAGACCTTCAGTGTCTTAGTCCCTTTGGGAAGCCTGAGCATTTTCAGTCATCTAGACACATGGTTCTGTTTTACATTAACAGCTCCTCCTTCACCTGCCACATTCAGCCTAGGAATCGCCTCATCCTTCTGACTGTTGTTTTTGTCACCAGCTGGAAGATGCACATGTGATCAGGTGCAGCTCCTTAGGTGATCGGCAGATCCTAAGGTCAGCAGATGGGTAACCTTGATTTGCTTGGGAGGTCTTTTCTGCCAAAATGATTCTGGGGCAGAGACCACAGGCCATCTTCAAAGTCTGCCCAGCATAGTGACCTTCCCTGTCTCCTGTGTGTGTACGTTATCCTGTGCACGACCATGTAAAAGCACACCACACACACACACACACACACACACACACACACACACACGGCTTTTTTTGTCAAGTCATAACCTTACTTTCTACGTCTTACTTTTCTTACTGAACCCGCTTGCAAAAATTTCTACGCACGATGTATTACAAGTCCACTCTGCTTCACGGCCGTGGGATATCCCGTGGTGAGGATGGATTACCACTGTATTTTGAGATCATGAGGAACAATTTTGCCGCACACATTCCTTTATATCCTGTATGTCACTAAAGAAAAACATCTCATCAGCTGTAAGCTCACGAATATTTACTTAACCCTAACATGAAATACCCTACTCCTTAAAGTAGAGCATGACCCTTGCCTGATACAGAAGACTTCGGTTGGAACCTGCGCTCATCCTGTGGTGCCTTTGGCAACTGGAGCACTAACCCCTCCCCCCGGGAGACTCGAGTTCTTAGGGTGACCAGCTTCAGACTGGCCTAGGTGTGTAAACAGAGTGTGTCTAGGATCGTCAAGAAACGGATCCCATGAGTGTGCCCACTCACTCATTCTTTCAGTATGTTGGAAAGCATACTCTTTCTTCTTTAAAAACCCTTTGGTGTCTCCAGTTATACATGTGCACAGTTGAAGCAGTATTTTCTCACTGCTGCTGAAAACAAAACAAAAACAGATGGGTGGCCCCTGGCCAGTCCTCGTCCTTCCCAGCCCTGCTCTCCCCAGAGGCACTGTGTCCGGCTGTGAACTGCTCTTTTTGGCATTTGATTCCCTATTTTTAAATGACATATGTGTCCTCCT